TTTGCATGTAATGAGCCTATCTCATATATTAGTTTCACCTATTAAATTGCATTACTGAAATAAATGAACTTTTGCATGATATTCTAATTTTTTGAGTTTCACCTGTATATTACTATATAACAGTATAAATGACTTTTCTGTCTCTCACTAGTTTAGAGACCAAAAGGTTTTTCACATACAATATGACAGCAATGTGGAACTTAAAGTGGACTGATTGCAAATCCCTGGGAAGTAATACAATTAGATGGGGATAATAATGATTACCTCACTGACATGGCATGGACTCTTCAAATCTACATTTAGAATACCCTTTCAATATATGCACCAGAATGTGAGGAAGGCTGTTTTCAGAGGCTTGAACCATGTATGGCTGGTTATTACAGAACAATTGGTATCAATTCTACTGATCATCCCTGAATGTAGGGAAAATATAAACAACATAATGTACCAGATATATCATAATTCTACTTCCCTGTAGATTGGAATGTATTCCAACTCTATGGCAAACCGAGTAGTACAGAATGTAAAGCACAGATATTTAAAACAACTGTTATGCTTTATAGGCGGGCCCGATCTAAAGGTCAACAAACCTGACACTAATATTGTTATTATATAAGGAATAGCTATAGGCTTGGGACAATTCTTCCAAATACTGTCAACATCCATACAACATCTTACTATAGACATCCAGTCTTGCTGTGCAGGAAACAATCCCAGCTTCATTTTTTGCTGATGCAGTGTACCAACCAGCATCTTCTTTTGTAGCTCCTTGAATAAGCAGGCAGATGTATCCATGATTATCTTGGTGCATGCTTAAAATAATAAAGAGACACATGTAAAGATATAACTAAATAGCAGTCCATTTCGCCGCTGTCCTTGCTCCTTCCCTACTCACCCACCGACCCTGGATCATATGGCTTTGAAAAACACCCAAAGCATTTTAAAGCCTTTTAAAGCATTACTTTACAAGCTGGCAGCTGTTTTTCAAGCCAGCAGCAACCCTCTCCTACTCACCCATGGGCCCTGGATCACGTGGCTGTGAAAAACATCCCGAAAGGCTGTTTTTAAAGCGTTTTAAAAGACTTTTAAAGCACTACAAGCTGGCAGCATAACTGCTTTTCAAGCCAGCAGTAGCCCCTCCCCTACTCACCCACCAGAGCCGAGGTGGCGCAGTGGTTAAATGCAGCACTACAGGCTACTTCAGCTGACTGCAGTTCTGCAGTTA